TTAATTTCCCTGGTACTGAAAGCTGCTTGCTCATAAACTTAGCTTAGGCATGACTGACTACTCTTATATAAATTCACTTTGATCAGAAATGCTTTTGGACATATTTATATCCATTGCTGGAAACATGTCCCCCCCCCCCCCCCCCCATTAAGTGCTGCAATTTCAGGTACACTTAGAGGACGCTATTGGAGGTTTCTAGGAAGAATGTCGCTGAAAGTAAACTGTTTGTCAAGATCATCATTTGTTTGTTCAGACGTCTAAACAGCATGATTCACCGATCCATGTGCTCTCATGGTCTTTTTGAGGTGTTCACTCCTCTTTCTATTTGCATGCTGCAAACTGCCTCCACTTTACTCTGCAGTATGCATAGTAGCATTGCTATACGTATCTCTGTAATGCATCGCAAGCCAGTTGCGGACAGTTCAAAAGCATGATTGCAGACGGAAAAGTTGATAAGAGCTAGGTTGTGGTAGGGCAAACGGTTATAGATCTATAGGTACCAGTAGTAGGACTGTTTCAACCCTACCAGACATAACAATTCATTGTTTGAAACAAGAACTTGTTGAAGAATGCCTATTTTAAAGTGGTTCCTGTCAGTCATTGTGATTTGAATGCTCATTGAAGGTGTTTTAATGTGTGTGTGTGTGAGTGGGTTAGACCATCTAGTGAACCCGGGACACCCACTGGCTGGATCTCTAAGAATATCCACAGTGTTCCAGGGCGGGAAAGCCCCCGACTCGTGACCTCGACAGGGTGGACGGGCTCTGCGTGGCCTTTGGGAGCTCGATCGTGGGCCGCTGCTATTCCTGTCTCGGCCCGGCCCGGACTGCATGCTTTCAGATGGAAATCTAAACAGTGGGCAGAACAAGCACTTCTCTCACTGGATCCCCCACCCTAGACCGTGCCTTGTTCAGCACAGACCTGCTGTGTGAATGGCCCTCCTTCATGCGGGCCAGGTTTAACAGTCACTCTGTGAAAGATAATGCGAGAGATAAAGAACTGAAGGTGTTTTATGGCCCACCCTGACACCCCGCTGAGACGCACATTTGTCAAAGGCCAGAACCTGGCTTTTTGTGGGTTGAAAATATCCAACAACCTTGTTTTCAGGCTGGATTTTGATGGCGTCTCTGAATTGAAACAGAAAGAAAGAAACATGTGATGACGAATGCTAATTTGGCATACAGACACCGCACAAAAAAAAACATTCAGAAGCTTTAATACCGTCCAGACAATTGAAGGACTCAAACGAGCTATTTGGCTTTTATTACACACCCACTCGCTGTCTCTCATGCACTTAAGACAGACCCCGGACACGCACATAAATGCAAACACATTCTTTGAAGTGCGTCTAATTTTAGAATGAACCGTTAACACTATCATCAATGTGTGATCTGTTAGGCCCTGTCTATATGCATGCAAGTCATTAAACCATTGAATGTACTATGGAAAACACTGAATGGAGTTGGTGGGCGGGACCCTGTGGTCATGCCAACAGTGATGTCATCCCTTTGGGGACTCCATTCATGCTGTCTTGGATGCTCTCACATTACAGATAAGTGAATCACCCAACCCCACCCAACTCATTGAGACAACCAGGGCCTCATGACCATAATCACAATTTCACAGTCCTCCACTAATGCACAGCCGAGAACGGTGGATTTGTACTCAACCCCACCACCCAATACACACCTGTACTTACACTGTAAGTTAAGAAGGTTTTCAGGCCCAATATCTATTGGCGCTTCATAAACTCTAAACAATGTTGGGTTGTTTAAACCCAAATTTGGGTTAAAAATGTCACTTTCAACTGTAATTTTTTTTGACAGTTGCACATTTGGGTTTGTCCATATTAGACCCAAATTTGAGTAGAAACGATCCAGCATTTTTTCGAGTGTAGAACGAATCACCATGGATTCATATTCGATGACGTTTAGTTACTCTCTATGGAAATTGGTATAATCCTAATTTCATTCCATTAAACTTAACCTGCTGAGGTAATCAATTGCTTTGTAGAAAAATAGTGTTGGTTCCGTCAATAAAGTGCCATGTGATATCGTGTGGAAAGCTGAATTGAAGAATATCACAATTTAAAGTAGTCAAGAAAATGCCAAAACATTAAGTATTCAAGTGAACAATGTCTTGAAATGGATAATAAATCAAACTAAATGAACTAAAAACAAATCCAAATGAACATTTTACTAAATATTTGCCTTCAACAAAGAAGACACAGGGGTTAAAGTCCATTTTATATTTAGTCAGTGAATTATGTATTGGCATGAACTCTGAGAATGGGATGATTAGTATATTGACTTCCAATAGTATATACAAGTGAACAGACCATGTTTGATTGTTGCCTCAGCATGATTGGTCAATGATAATGTGAGTTTGCTGAATATTTCTTCCAGAGATCTGTTGATGAAAAGGATCTTTGAAAACAGCTCACTATCCTTTTGTTTCAGGTGTCCTTGCAGATACATGAACACTTTTTTTTTTTAATTCAAATGAATAAAAGATTTATCCACTAACAGAAAAATGTTATTTTCATAGCATGCCCCATCCCTCTTGTAAGAGCTGGCTTTTTGTCATCTAAACCACTTCAAATCCCTTTTTGTTCGTTCACAATTCACTTTGTGTTTGTCATTAATATAAAATCCTGTTATTTGTTAAGCTGCTGTGTCATATTGTCCAAGTAAAACATGTTTCCTTTACCGGCGGGGCGGGGGTCTTTTTTGGCAGATCAGTTTAGGCCTTGTATCGCCTAATGTGAAAATGGGCCTCTTCTCTCGTGAATGAAGCCTCTGACGTCCAGATGGCTCTAATGCGCAATTAAACACTGTAAATGGAGACTCTAATCCAATCACACAAGAGCACGACATTGTTTTTCTCCATTTAGACACTCTGCATAATGCATCACTGCAAATCCTTCCCTGTTCGAGTCAAGCAGGGTAGCAGATCGCGAGGAGGACGGGGATTGAGGTTAGGAGGGACAGCTGTTGTGCATTCTTGGCTGGGTTATGTCGTGATGTGGATCGACAACAGCGAGTGCAAACCCATACGGCGCCCAGGGCTGGCAGTTTAAAAACCGCGCGGAGATGCCAGAACATCTGGGTGTCTGTGAAAAAAACAAGTCTGGCCTGTGCATTTTAGCTCCCAGACGGATTCATTGTGCCTGAGTCACAGTCTGACGTTTTCTGACGGCCACCAGTAATAGAATAATCACCCCTCACCGTGCATCCAGCACGCCTTTGATCGCACAACGGCCCTTTGCTCGGCTCTGTGGCATTCTTTAGACCCTTTGGGGGTTTCTTTCTCTGGAACTGCCACCCCGGCAGTCCTAATTGGATCAGTGGAAGTCATCGGGTACTGTTTAACTCATCAAAGACCTCTCTGTGTCCTGCTGGGTGCCCACGAGCAGAGAGGGCGAGCTTTCCAACACTGCAGTGTCTGTTCGACACCCTGCAGCCTGCTGTGACATCATCGACCTCTGACCCCTAACTGTTGACCCCTGCCAACACAGGCCCCTCTGTCAATGGCTGGACATGGAGATGGGACAGCTTGCTGGGCTGACGGGATTGTGGGAAGGTGGTCATCGGTGTAGAATCTGACCTGTCAGGTCAGGTTGGAGGTGGTTGACGATGGTGTGCATATGTCCAGCAGACATGGTGGACAACTACAGTCAGTTGTGTGATGCTGAGGCTGCGGGTTTACTCTGGCTGTATATGATCTCTTGCCGTACACTGATTTACTTATATTACGTCCGGATAGGGATTTTGTGGAGTTGAAGCTCAGGCTGCAGATGTTTACATATGAGATGCTTTATTTTGTTTCGTTTAGTTTCATATTTTGTGTTTGTTTAATTTTCACATTTTTTAAATTATTATTATGTGCACTGATTTTTTTTGTGGAATTGAAGCTCTGGCTCCAGATGTTTACCTTTTATTTAATTTAATTTCGTTTCATTTTGTTTTGTTTGTTTCATATTTTGTGTTTGTTTAATTTTCTATTTTTTTTCTAGTATTATTATTATTATTATTTTTTAATTATGTACACTGATTTATATATATTAACTCCGGATAGGGATTTTGTGGAATTGAAGCTCAGGCTCCAGATGTTTACCTTTTATTTAATTTAATTTCGTTTCATTTTGTTTCATATATGAGATGCATACATATGAGATGCTTTTATTTCGGATTAATTTCATTTAATTTCGGTTTCATTTTTGTCTCATTTAGTTTCATTTCATATTTTGTGTTTGTTTAATTTTCAATTTTTTTTCTAGTATTATTATTATTTTTTTAATTATGTGCACTGATTTACCTATATTAACTCCGGATAGGGATTTTGTGGATTTGAAGCTCAGGCTAAAGATATTTTTATTTTATTTAATTTCATGTTTTGTTTAATTTTGTTTCATATTTTGTGTTTGTTTAATTTTCTATTTTTTTTTTTTTTTTTTTTTTTTGTAGTATTATTATTTTTTAATTATGTGCACTGATTTATATATATATTAACTCCGAATAGGGATTTTGTGGAAATTGAAGCTCAGGCTGCAGATGTTTACATATGAGATGCTTTTATTTCGGATTAATTTTGTTTCATTTCGTTTCATTTCATATTTTGTGTGTTTTAATTTTTTTTTTCTATTATTTTTTTAATTATGTGCGCTGATTTACTTATTGCTTATTTACTTATTAAATATAAAACTTAAATAATATATATATAAAAAATAATACTTATTACTTATTTACTTATTATTTATTAATTCTGGATAGGGATTTTGTGGAATTGAAGCTCAGGCTGCAGATGTTTGCATATCAGATGCTTTGGTTTCATTTAGTTTCATTTCATATTTTGTGTTTGTTTAATTTTCTCTTTTTTTTCTAGTATTATTTTTTTTATTATGTGTATTTATTTGTTTGTGAAATCTAGCATAGTTAATCTGATTTGAGAATGTGTGTGTGATGGGTGATGAGGTATTTTGTCTGTGTTCGGTCCAACAGATCTGGAGTGTGCGGATGTTCCTCTACTGACTCCAGGAAGTAAAGAAATGATGTCACAGGCTCTTCTGGCCACATTCAGTGGCTTCACCAGGGAGCAACAGCGACTCTCCATCCCTAAAGGTCCTAATCTCTAAAGCACTTATAAAAAAAAAAAAAAAACACTATCCAACTGTTTAGACTAAATCTTATATTCATTGTTTCTTATCTTATTTCTGTTGCTCTCTCTCTTAAAGGGAAAGTTCACTTAAAAATGAAAGTACTGTCATTATTTACTCACCCTGTTCCCAACGTGTATAACTTTCTTTCTTCCATGGAACACAAAAGGAGATTATACGGGTTTGGAAAAACATCACGGTGAGTAAATAATGACAGAAATGTAATATTTTAAGTGAACTTTCCCTCTTAAAAGACATGTTTAAGACACATTTGAGAACTCACTGATTATGTTAATGACACTGGACATTTTCCAACTTGTTATTTATCGTATTAATAGGAGGAGAAAAGAAATGTTAGATAGAGGAAAAATGGAAAAGCAAAGTATTTTTCTTGTTTCTGGCCCAGTAGGCTGTTTTTTAATTTTTTTTAGATTGCCTAAAAAGAGATCTTGCTAGATAGACACATTGCACTCTGAACTGAAGCAGCCGAGGTTATGAATTATGCTTCCAAAACTATGGCAGACCGCATGATGGCTTTGCTTACTGTGTGTAGGGTGGCTGAAGTGTGTGTCAGGTCTGCGTCTATCTAGAAATAGCTGAATGAAGAGAAACGACAGTCAGAGATAGAGATAGAGTTAGTGTGCAAGCTAAAATTACAGGCGTTTCAGTTCCTCCCATCACAGCATCAAATGTGTAGCAAAGTCAGCTGATCATTTCCCATGAGCCACTAAATATTGGTTAACACTTTACAATACGGTTTGTCATTTAACTTGTTACTGTGTTTTTTAATCTTTTTTAACATTGGTTAATAAAAATACAGCTGTTCGTTGTTAGTTCATATTAAATCACAGTGCATTAACTAATGTTTTTTGATAAAGTGTTATGCTATATTATATTAAAATGCTGTATACGTGCAGTTTGTTATTAATGTTATCTAACAAACATTACTGTAAAATGCTACCAAATATATTGTACGCATCAGCATAAACACACAATATTAGACTGTTTATTGTCCTGAGGTAGAGCAAACGTACTTAACCGACGCTTTCTCTTGATGATTATGAACAATAAGTATATAATATATGACGCAATCTGCATATGCATGTTTTCACCTCTCTAGACCCCCGCGAGTGGACGAACGCCCACGTGAGAGAATGGTTGACCTGGACGGTAAACGAGTTCAGTCTGAAGAATGTGGACTTCCATAAGTTCAGCATGGACGGGGCCAATCTCTGTGCCCTGGGGAAAGATCGGTTCCTGGATCTGGCTCCTGACTTCGTGGGCGATATCCTCTGGGAGCATTTAGAGATGCTGCAGAAAGGTAGACACCCACATCTGCAGACAGCGGTGCTATTTTAGGCTATGTTTACACTGAAACGATCTGAAGAGAAAACGCAAAAGTGGCGTTGCGTTATCACTTTTTATTATTGGTGGGAAATCCGCATGCGTATGGTGACGCAAAAGTGTATGAAACCTGATGTAGTATGCACTCCAGGCAGCTAGGTGGCAATGTGAGGCACTGCCACACAACACCAAGTCCGCGCGCCTGCGTACAACAACCTTCACTGTCTAGGAGATTTTGCGTTTTTACCCTTTACACGGGAACGCGGCGGCGGCGGTGGTGGTTTCACTTTTTTGCGTTTTTAAGTTTAAAAACGGCGTCACCGTGACGTAAAAAAAGAAAGGCACATCGATAAAATATTTGTACGTTTTCACCCGCAAGCGTCCTCGTGTAAACAGGGTCTTCGTATCAATGAAGTCTATTACAGTTTTTGTACATTTAAAAAAAAAAAATTTCATTTTCACATTTTCTGTTTTCATTGTAATATTTAAGTGTTAGTATGGTCATTTTTTAGTTCTTCAACTGTAAATGAGCAACTAGCTGAAATAAAAATATTTTATTTTAGTTCATTATAATTTTGCTTCAAATAATGCGTTTTTTATGGTTTTAGTTAATGATAATAACCCTGGATTCAATAAATGTTAAATTCAGACAGTAATATCATATTAATAATTATGCTGTTTTTTATTGTTATATTATTTGTATAATAATAATCATAATACTTATATATATATATATATATATTTTTTTTTATATTTATTTATTTATTTATTTATATAATGGTTTCAAATATTTTATATTTGTTTTACCAGCATGTATAATTTGACTGTAGGCTGTTCATGGTTGCCCCAAACAACTCGACACATTAATATGTAATCCGAAAGACATACAGTCACATGTGTGAGTCTCTGCAAAACTCAAAATGCAAAATCTTAATTTTGAGTTGTAATGTTATTTCTAAAGTGACTATTACAAGAGTAAGCTAAGCAGTTCAGTAACTCGCCTTCAGCTAAAGTATAAATTGTAGATGATCTATGCTGTGATGTCAAATGCTGGATGCATGTGATAGGCGTCACATTTAGAAAAACCTGTTAAGTAAACAGCACACTGACATTCAGATCAAAGTAGTTTCCGTTGTTATCTAACAGCTTGGGCTTGGAAGTGTGCATGGTTTCAGTGATGTGTGTTGTTTTCTTCACACAGAAGACCCGAAGCATTTCCCCGTCAATGGTCTGACCTCCAGTTTCCAGGAATCCCGCTACCCCTCAGACTACTTTTTCAGTGAGTATCTGGCATTTCATCATCACTGCACCTGAGAACACGTTCACCGCTTCTGCCATGACTATAGTGGGAGATGATCTAATGATCTGTGTGTGGAGGAGGTTAAACCTTCCTTAAAGGAAGAGTTCATCCATAAATGACATTTCTGCCATTATTAACCTAGCCTTACGCCATTCAAGCATGTATTATGTTAAGTACACTCAAAAAACAACTATGGTCAAGCAAGAAAATTATATAAAAGCAGCATGAAAGGGGTTCAAATGACTTTAGAAGATCGGCAATATTAAAACCAATATTTATTTTTTTCTTTATGGACAAAATGGCTGATATTGTAGTTGTGAGTGTTTTATTTGAATAATTAATAAGTTGTTTTCAATGCTACAAGTGAATTTGGGCATCACAACATTATAATATTTTGATATTCACTCATTTTAGTATCAGTATTTGCTAATATTAGCCATCTTACACATCTTACACATCTTTCACACATATGTTAAACAACACAATGAGTATAAACAATTAAATGTCGAATATTGATCGATGCAATAAAATAAAAATCTCCAAATGACCCCCATGTCATCCAAGATGTCCACGTCTTTCTTTCTTCAGTCGAAAAGAAATTAAGGTTTTTGATGAAAACATTCCAGGATTTTTCTCCATATAATGGACTTCAATGGGAACCAAACGGTTCAAGGTCCAAAAGACACTTTCAGTGCAAATTGCAAACTGTTCAAAGGGCTTTAAACGATTCCAGACGATCGCTCATTAAAAAAAAACCAAAAAACAAAGTTTAAGTTTTATAAGCACAAATGCTCGCCTTGCTCTGTTCTGTGAAGCGCCTGTTCGAACTCATTCGTCAAAATGAACAAATCTATTTTCGAGTCATTCTAACGAAATGAATCAACGAACGAAATGACTCAGAAAAAAAGATTCGTTCGTTTTGATAAACGAGTTCGAACAGGAGAGTCACGAACGCGCATCGCATAAAACTTAAACTTATTATTTTTGAAATGCGCGATCGTTACGCTAGATTTCCCTTATTCATCGTCTGGAATCGTTTAAAGCCCTTTGAACAGTTTGCACTGAAACTGTCTTTAGGACCTTGAACCGTTTGGTTCCCATTGAAGTCCATTATATGGAGAAAAATGCTGGAATGTTTTCATCAAAAACCTTAATTTCTTTACGACTGAAGAAAGAAAGACATGGACATCTTGGATGACATGGCGGTGAGTAAATTATCAGCAAAAGTGAACTACTCCTTTAAGTCGTTATTCACTGAAAATCTCAAATCAAACATGACAACTATCTCTATCTATGCAGGTTGGACATTTTTAGCATTTTTGGTGCAAACATGAACCGTCATTAAATAGAAAAGGTCTTCTTTTTAAATCTTCCCTCTCCTCCAGACTATGGCATTGAGCATCCTCAGTGCGTGCCTCCTTCCGAATACTCGGAGCCGAGCTTCATAACCGAGTCGTACCAGACCCTTCACCCGATCAGCTCAGAAGACCTGCTGTCGCTCAAATACGAGAGCGAGTATCCCAACGTCATCCTGCGAGACGCACCTCTCAATCCACTGCAGGGAGACTACTTTTCAGTCAAACAGGAAGTCGTGTCCCCTGACAACATGTGTGTGGGTCGCATCAGCAGAGGTGAGTCTGGCCCGAAGGTCATGTGTTGTGATGCACGATTCCCTCTCGTTTAGAAGCTCGAGTCGGGGCTTAAACGCATCCCATCACGCTCGCAATGAAAACATCTCGCATTACTGCAGTTATGTGCCAGGGAATGAAGCAGACCGTTGGGTTTATTTGTGGTCCTATCACACACCATCTCGAGATGTACTCGACTGCCTGCGGTGGGGAAAAGGAGAGAAAAACAAAGATGTTTGCTTCAAAGTGAGACGCGTTTGAAGCCACAGAGCGCTGGTAGCTGTCTTTTGTGTCAGCGCGTCCTTGTGAGGTTTAGGTACTGGGGTAGGAGGTGTTTTTGTGAACCTTGGGTTCTCGTAAGGAGCGAGAGGTGCAAAGCGTGAAAAGAGCGTTCCGGTTTCTCATCAAGTAACTTCACCTCACGTACGTTTGGTTTCACTCCCACTCGTCTCGCTCTTCACGCTCTAACCGTCATGCAGCTGAACAAACGATCCAGATTTGGATTGGACATTGAGATTTGTCAAAAAGCGCTTGTATGTTATTGAACAACGAGTTACACGCGGGCTTTATGTGCTGTAAATCCCAGCTTTGTGTTTTTTGGGGTTTTTTTTCTTGCGTGGGAAAGAATTTGTGGTGCCACCAAACTCGCATGTGGCTTCAATTTTTCAATTGAAGATTTGAGGATCAGGCCCAGCTCTGTATTATCTTTCATTCTGTAATTGACATTTACTCCAGACTGGTCTTTTATCTGCAGTTTGGCCCGAAATAGAGAGGCAATTTGTTTTGATTTTCTTCCAATTAGAGAAAACCCAAATATTTCCAAATAAGAGAAACACAGTGTGGTGAGATTTTTTTCCACGTGGTTGTGGCTGGTGCACTCGCTAAAAACTTTGGTTAGAAATATAAGACCAGGGTCCTCGTTTATTTGATCCTAGAGTTCAGGAATGCCGTCTCATTGAGCAGACTGTAAAAAAATACCTTAGAGGTTGCCTTAAAGGAGTGGTTCACTTTAAAAAAAAATATGTTGCTGATAATTTACTCACCCCCTTGTCGTCCAAGATGTCTGTCATTCTTTATTCAGTCAAAAAGAAATTAAGGTTTTTGATTAAAACATTCCAGGATATAATGGACTTCAATGGGAACCAAACGGTTCAAGGTCCAAAAGACAGTTTCAGTGCAAACTGCAACCTGTTCAATATTCTTTAAACGATTCCAGACGATGAATAAGGGTCTTATCAAGCGAAACGATCGCTCGTTTAATAAATAAATAACAAAGTTTAAGTTTTATGAGCTCAAATGCTCGCCTTGCTCTGTTCTGTGATGAGCGTTCGTGACTCCTGTTCGAATTCGTTCATCAAAATGAACGAATCTTTTTTCGTGCCATTTAGTTCATTCAATAAACGAAATGAACGAGTTGACTCGGGAAAAGATTCGTTCATTTTGATGAACGAGTTTGAATGGGAGAGTCACGAACGTGCATTACAGAACAGAGCAAGGCCAGTTGAGCTTATAAAACAAACCTTGTTATTATTATTATTTTTTTTTAAATGAGCGATCGTTTCGCTTGATAAGACCCTTATTCATTGTCTTGAATCACTTAAAGCCCTTTGAACAATTTGCAGTTTGCACTGAAACTGTCTTTTGGACCTTCAACCATTTGGTCCCCATTGAAGTCCATTATATGGAGAAAATCCTAGAATCCTGGAAAAAAAAAAGTTTTTTTTTTTTTTTTTTTTTAAGTGAACTACCTTTAAGATTGAAGGAGATTGGTTTAATCAACAGAAAATCAATAAGTGAGGCCCATGTTATTTATATAAAAGAAAAGTTTGTCATAAGTCAATGTTCTGTGAAGATATTTTGAAGCATGCACATACCCACACAACATGCATTGGTTCTGTTTGAATATGTGGATTGGAAAATGTTTAATGACACTGAAATCTCCGTCTCAGGTAAGCTGGGAGGTCAAGATTCGTTCGAGAGCATCGACAGTTTCGAGAGCTGTGATAGGCTGACGCAGTCCTGGAGCAGTCAGTCGTCGTTCAACAGCTTACAGAGAGTTCCCTCGTACGACAGCTTCGACTCGGAGGACTACCCCACGGCACTGCACGGACACAAACCAAAGGGAACCTTCAAAGACTACGTGCGCGAGCGCTCGGACCTCAGCAAGGACAAGCCGGTCATCCCGGCGGCTGCGCTCGCTGGCTACACAGGTCAGCGTTAACTCTCACAACCCACTTAATTGCAGTAGACGCAGATATGTCCACGTTTTAAATTCACAGTCAAAGCCAATAACAGAGATGACAACTCTGGAAGTTGTACAAGTAAAAGTGTTGTATGTTTATCGTTGTTCTTAGGCATGTTGCATGTTATTTTGGCCATGTACGATGATGCTCGCATGGATATTGCATACCATATACTATCAAAAACCATGTTATTCCATATATCATAGCATAAATCGTTACATTTATCATATCACATACCAAATCATATCAAAATCCATATCATATGGTAAATGGAATATTGCATAGCATGTTATATCAAAAAATATATGCCATTCCATATATCATACCATAAATCATACAATTTATCATATCACATACCAAATCATATCAAAAACCATATGATATATGGAATTTTGCATAGCATGTCATATCAGAAAACATATATGCTATTCCATATGTCATACCATAAATCATACTATTTATCATATCACTTACCGAATCATATCAAAATCCATATATGATATGATATATGGAATAACATGGTTTTTGATATGACATGCTATGCGATATTCCATATATCATACCATAAATCGTTCAATTTATCATATCACACACCGAATCATATCAAAATCCATATGATATTATAAATGGAATATTGCATAGCATGTCATATCAAAAAACATTTATGTTATTCCATATATCATACCATAAATCATACTATTTTTTTTTCATTTCGCATACCTTATCATATCAAAAATCTTATGATATGGAATATTGCATACCATGCTCATATCAAAAACCATGTTATTCCATATATCATACCATAAATCCTTCAATTTGTCATATCACATACCCTATCATATAAAAAAAAAACATGATATGATATATTATTGCGTAACGTCATATACTGTAAACCTCGTCATATCAAAAACCATGTTACTCCATATATCATACCATAAATCCTACTATTCATCATATCATATAAAAAAAATATGATATTATTTGATATATCAAAACGTCTTTTAGACTATATGAGCTATTCCATATATTTGATCATAACCCGAACCCATACTATACAAATGAAATGAAATATCTTTTAATGAAAAACCCTTCAACCAGGAAGCATTTGGAATCACAAGTACGTGTGTGTTTCCTGCTACCCGAGGTGCTTTGTGTTGTCTTTCTGGGACGCAGTTGCTTCTGGATCAGTGGCAGACTCGTGTGCACCAGTTTCGATGCATTGGTGCACTTGCTGACCGCAGAGCCACGTTTGTTACATGACTGGAAGAATGTCATCGCAATCGTTTTCTCTGCACAACTGCTGCAAACATGCCACACCCAAGCTCTGTTTTCATCGTGTACTCCTTATCTGCGGCCCACATCTCAACCCATTTCCCAGGTCGTCTTGGCAACAGCACAAAGTGATAGCAGGCCTGTGCACTTAAGATGAGAGCTCCTTTATCGGCCCATCTTCGAGGGGCTTTTTTAACCTTGTGCCTTATGTCTCAAACCTACCTGCTCATGTCATATATCCGAGCAGAAAAAACACACTCCCCTACCCTGAAGAAAGAACACAGGGCCCACTTGCTATATGTGGCACATTTCATTTCTATTTTAGGTTCTTTTGAACTTATAAAGAACTGTTTGGCACACACCCGAGTCGGTTGCTCGTCAGGTGGATTTCTCTAGATCCGAGCTAAAAAAAGAGGCGCGTTATGGATGTTTTATGCTGCTGATTGTAAATCGTTGGGTTTGTTTCTGTGTGCGTGCGAGAAATATGCATTTTCTATGGACTGAACTACCTGTTTTTGCTAATGTTACCCGCAGTGACGAGTCAACAGGCTTCAGAGTTCAGAGATAAAGCCGGCTAGTGACAAAAAATGATCCACTTGCTCGCAGAGCTCTGAGGTTTTCGTGTTTGTCATCATTAATCACATATGCAAGAACAAATCCATCAGATCTCTGTGAGGAGAGCAACTCAACCACAGCACCGCAACACACTTTCTTCAGCGACGGCTGATTTTTAACTTTATAGGGCGGCTTCCTCACGCACACATTAAAGGCACAGTTCACCCTTAATTTTTTTTTTTTTTAACTTTGTCATCATTCTCTCGTTGACCACCCAAGCATCTTTAGCTGAATGTTCAGCCTGTGTTTTGGTGCCATAGATTATGGTTTTAAGACACCAATGAAGGATTTTGTCATTGACAATTATATTGGTACAATTAGTTGACCTCAGTTAATGCGTTAACTAACTATGAGCAATGCATTTCTTACAGAACTTGTTAATCATTGTTAATGTTAGCTAAAAAACACACTTGTTAGCTCCGTTCCATTAAATATTAACAGATGCAACCTTTGTTTTTAAAGTTGAAATTTGCATTTGCAAAAAAAAATGTTGCTGATAATTTACTCACCCCCATGTCATCCAAGATGTCCACGTCTTTCTTTCTTCAGTCGAAAAGAAATTAAGGTTTTTGATGAAAACATTCCTGGATTTTTCTCCTTATAATGGACTTCAATGGGGACCAAATGGTTCAAGGTCCAAATGAGAGTTTAAGTGCAAACTGCAAACTGTTCAAAGGGCTTTAAACGATTCCAGACGATGAATAAAGGTCTTATCAAGCGAAACGATCGCTCATTTAAAAAATAAATAAAAAAGTTTAAGTTTTATAAGCTCAAATGTTCACCTGCGATGCGCGTTCTGACTCTCCTGTTCAAACTCGTTTATCAAAATGAGCGAATCTTTTTTCCGAGTCAACTAACGAAATGATTTGAAAAAAGATTTGTTAATTTTGATGAAAAAAAAAACAAAAAAACATCAAAAACCTTAATGTCAATCATTTCGACTGAAGAAAGTAAGACATGGATATCTTGGATGACATGGGGGCGAGTAAATTATCAGCAAACTTTAAAAAAAAAAAAAAAGTGAACTAATACTTAACTAAGATACTTTTGCAATGTTAACTAATGTAATTGCATAATGTTAACAAATTGGACCTTTTTGAAAAGTGTTGTCTGTATTTTGTCACTTTTATGGTGCTTTTGTTGTGCTTGTGAGCTCATTTTTACTTTTAACATTCTGCTAAACATCTTATTTTGCATCCAGTGAAAGACCGAAAGTCATACATATTTTGAAGAACATGATTATTCACCCACACATATCTATTTTAGTGTGAACTATCCCTTTAAGCCCAATGCTTTATATCCAAGTTATTTTCCCAGATCAACTTCATGAAATCCTTGCCTTCGCTTGTAATCATGCTCTCACTTCAGGCAAAGTGGCCTTAATGTACTTTCAAAGCTTTGCTGAAAGTCAGCGCTGGATTTCTGTCAGTCTGAGGATTTGGTTTAGGCATGTAGAGGGCAGACCGATTGCTTTCCCTTCCCGGCTCCTTTGGGTTTAATAAGGGTGTGTTACAGTAGCTGTGCTTATGGAATGTGTTTTAATGCATTTATCTACATAAACCGATTACCGCATTGATCCAGATGAGTGATTTTGTGGACTCGTATGTTTAGGAGACAAAGAGAGGCAGACAGAGAGGGAGAGGGTTAGCATGAACTGTTGAATTGTTGATGAGAGAATCTGTTTCAGAATTGCATTAGTGTTTTATTGCATTATCGGCAAGGATATTTTTAGCCGGGTGTAACTCGGTAAGAATGAGTTGTGCCTGCTGTTATCACCACTTCTTTTGCATTTGCGTTGCTTTTGATTTACCGCCCACTTCACCAAAAGAATTACGCAGGTAAATGTGACACTACTTGTGTGTAAACTTTTTTTAAAAGAAGCCTAATTTACAAAGAAAGGATGCATTGAAATTAGGGGATGTGCTAGATGATAATCAATATATATATATATATATATATATATATATATATATATATGAGATTCTTGAGACTCAGTTTAAATAATTGAAAAATTATAAATATTTTAAAAATTCTGGTCGATAATTAAAAACAAATTAATGGTTGAGTTTATTGAGACTGTTTATATAATTGAAAAATAAAATAATTGTAAACTTATAAATATTTTAAAAAATTCGGATCGATGATAATTTTTTTGAAAAATAAAAAAATAAAATAAAATACTTGTAAAATTATAAATAATTTTGAAAATTCTGGTCAATGATAATTAAAATAAATTAAATAAATAAATATTGAGACTGTTTAAATAATTGAACAATAAAATAATTGTAAAAATTCTGGTTGATGCTAATAAAAAAAAAAATTATATATATGTGTGTGTGTGTGTGTGTGTGTATATATATATATATATATTCCTGAAATTATAAATAATTTTAAAAATTGTGGTCGATGATAACTTTTTTTATAAAAATAAATATAAATTCCCGAAAACTGATAAATTATTGAGATTCAAATTCTATACTCTATTTAAATAATTGAAAAATAAAATAATTGTAAATGCTACTAGTGATTTTAGTGTTCTAGTGAACCGTATGGACAAATAATATTCATTTTGAGATTATGTCAGAGGTAATCTGAAAGTAAGCATGCACAATTAAATATCCAATATCGATGGCCTACTGATAAATGTAAAAATCTGGTGCTAATATATAGTGCAGGACTTGATGTTTGCAGGAGATTAGACTCTCTCTTCTCTTCGCTGTTGTTTTGCAGCAGGTGTGATATGAAGTGACGGTTCATTTTAATGTGCACAAACCACAAGATGAAGAAAAGCCAAAACTTATCTAGACGGGTACACGAGCTGCTCCGCTGCTGCCTACACGCTGTGAAGCCTTTGCAGGATAGATCTCGCTCAATAGGTCAACGCGACCACATAAACACTTCACGCTAGTCCTTAAATCGCGTCTCACAATCAAGTGGATTAAGATGCACGGTTGCAATATTTCAAGGCTACAAAGTCTTTAAAGTTGACCCCATCGCACTTGGGGGCGAATGCAATGTTAAAGCTTGTGAGAATAACTTCTCGTTTTGCAGATGTCCGCCAAGGGCTTCTCTCTCTCACACCCACACAGCCGTTCACACACATGTAGACATCACACACATGTGTGCTTTCAAATGCACCCGGGCGACATGCAGACATATACATCATGGTTTGCGTGATCAAACACATTTATCCGCCAGATATGTAGCCTTGGGGCAAATCCAGATGATCTCAGTGGCTTGGAATTCACATAAAGAGCCCAAAGCTCAAGTCGGACATGCGGTCTGTGCAGTAGCCAGTCAATACGCCATTGTGTCACGCCATTCTCACGCAGCGTGACATAAAGCTAATGGCATGTGAAACTCTGTTTGGACCATGATTTGAAATCCAACATTTCTTTTATACTTAATGCAGTAGAACTGAAGAGTCTTGAATGGTGATAATATGGTACTTTGAGATTTGTTGCATACTGTGTATGCTCCTTGAGGTCAATGGACATTTTGTTGTGAACATCCTCCATAGGATTGTATTAAGTCGTTGTGGTGTTGTTTGTCCATTCAGGCAGCGGACCCATCCAACTCTGGCAGTTTCTGTTGGAGCTCTTGACGGACAAATCCTGCCAGTCTTTCATCAGCTGGACTGGAGACGGATGGGAGTTCAAGCTCTCCGACCCTGATGAGGTGAGGGATTATAGTCAGCATGCTCTGTATAGGTTGGGAAGAATAGACTCAAAAAAAGTGTGGTGTGTATATATATATATATATATATATATATATATATATGAAGAGTTCAGATGCAAAAGCCTCTAAATGCCATTTGATTCAAGTTCAGTAATTTCACTCAAATGACAATTAATAGGTAATCCTCATTGCAATTTAACTGAAATTACTGAACTTAAATATACAAGCTTGATAAAAATGATCATTCTAGAAGAAAATTTCAAATGGCACTTATAGGCTTTTGCATCTGAACTCTTCATATATATATATATGTGTGTGTGTGTGTGTGTGTGTCAATTGAACCATTTGGCAACTTTTTAGTAAAGTAAAGTTTCCATTCAGAATCTAATTAGCATCCATTTCGCCGTCTCGCGCTCGTCATCCACTCGAAACCTAACGTTTACCAACTATTTTGCCGGCTCGCAAGCCCAAACGAGTGTGTGCGGCGCAAGCCATTGAAATGAATGGGTTTCAGAGTGCGCGTCCTGTTGCAAAAGCATATGGAAAAACACTACAAAGTTTGCTAGGCCAAAAAGACTGTTAATCGTGTGATAAAAAAATGTACGCTGTTAAAATGGTTTTGCGTTAACGCCGTTAATAACGCGTTTAACTTGCAGCCCTAATATATAAGAATTTTTGAATTTTCCTCTTTTTTTTCTCTCTTTTTTAAGCTTTGCTCAGAATTAAGTTAACTTTTTTAATATGAATTATTATTATTTTTTTTTTATTATTATTATGGCTATGTAATAGTTAACTGAATCTAAAACTGAAAACATTAACTGAAAATAAATAAATTAATAAATAAATAAATAAATAAATATGTATTTCCGCTTATATGCAGTGCAACAATTCAAATGTTCATTTAGTTTAACGATGACTAAAAAGAATATTGAAGAAAAAAAATAAAATAATTAAAAATGACAAACACTAAAATTACCAAAACTTTTACTAAAAAAAAAAAAAAATAAAATAAAAAAATCATTCAAAAAATGAATACGAACTATAATATCTCAATGATACTAAATTCAATAATAGAGTTAGTTTAAATAACTAGTTAAGTCATGAAACTTAATAATTCTCCATGCAACATTTAAATAGTTGGGTTCAGTGTTTGCTCTAAGTTAGTCTTACAGTGTGCAATCAGAGTTCATCTGAACCGTCCACCTCCCCAGCTCCACCTGCCTAGATCTGCTTCAGGATTTATGTGTGTATTCACGTGTGTATTTTTAGTGCATAGCAATAATAAAAATACATCAACACGGCCATATTCAATGGCATGCTAACGCTATTCCGAGAGTTGTCATGATTCAAATCTAGTTGACCAAACGAAGAGTTCAGATGCAAAAGCCTCTAAATGCCATTTGAAATTTTCTTCTTTAATGATGATTTTTATCAAACTTGTACATTTAAGTTCAGTAATTTCACTTAAATAACATTTAATTGGTAATTATCATTGCCATTTAAGTGAAATCACTGAACTTAAATATACAAGCTTGATGATAATTTTCATTCTAGAAGAAAATTTCAAATGGCACTTAGAGGCTTTTGCATCTGAACTCTTCAAACATGCAAGTTTTTTTTATGCAAAACACAGAACCAAAAAAGCAATTTGTAGCAAGTTTAGTAAATGCAACAACTGTTGTTCTTCAGAGACTAACCTCACAGTGCCATTTATCAGTTTATCTCTGATGCAATCGCTATACCACCACTGCAAAAGCACTTGGTCGCACACACACTATTGAATCTCATGAGCAAGCGAATGACTATTCTGTGGGTTCGTGATCCTGACCCGTGTCTCCTTGACCTCTAGGTGGCACGTAGATGGGGCAAGAGGAAAAACAAGCCCAAGATGAATTACGAGAAGTTGAGTCGTGGTCTACGCTACTACTACGACAAAAACATCATCCACAAGACGTCCGGCAAGCGCTACGTCTACCGCTTCGTGTGTGACTTGAAAAGCCTACTGGGATACACTCCCGAAGAGCTCCACACCATGTTAGATGTCAAGCCTGACACGGATGAGTAAAGTTTGGGAAGTGTTGAGGGGGGGGGGAAAGGCGGCTGAAAAAGTCAATTACAGATCCTGGAAAGAAAACAAAACGGGTCGTCCATTTTCGGGTCCAATCACATCTTAACACTTAGTCGTGGTCCAGTCTTGTTTTGAGCTCATACGGGACAAAAAAGAGGAAGCGTCAAAGCATTTACCAAAGTTTATAACTCGTGCGCCTATGTTGTTTATAGTTCTGCGGGGAAGGGAACGCTCGAAGCTGGTCCCAGTAGCACAAACACCGGGAAGGAACAGAAGACAAAGAGATGGACTTTTCTTGGACGCATTGCCAAAATTAGAGACAAGAGGAACATCGCAGAACCGTTTCTGTCTCCTTGCATTCCCACCAGGAGGAAGTGAGTTCTCAGCCGGACCAAATCGTTTCCTTATTTTTGTTTCTTAAAGATACATGTGTCAGTATTAATTTGTGCAGAGACCAGTTGTATTGAGATTTTTGTTGTACATTTTCATACTGCAGAAGATGAAGGTTTATTGAAGTGAAACTGTGCTTAGATCTTCTTTTAAGGTCACGTTCGGTTATATGGGTTGCTCTTACCACAATGTCCATAGCCGAAAACGCTCGCCAGATCAAAATAGATACCAGAGTCTCGCCCTTTTCAGTTGAAAGAGACGCACCTCAGTCAAACCGAGAGACGCATATGAAAGCGGCCGTTGGCTTCTCAACAGCACACGCACACGTTTGTGGGGAGTGTGTGTTTATGAGTTCACCACTTGTATTAGGACAAAAGACATCTAACGTTTCTTGCCTTGGCTTTGTTTGTACGTGAATGGCTTTTTCATAAAGTCTCGCCTTAATATAGCACACCGTTTTTTTTACGAATTTACTGTGTCTTCTCGAGGTAAACTGAAAACTCTTCGCACTCTTCAGTGCTAGACTGAACCGAAAGCCGTAAGGGTTTAAGAACGCGCCATGCGAGGTGTTTTAACCTCGAGCGCGCACTTCAGCATACGTCTGGATCGTCAAAAAGTACGCGAGATGGATTTTGCAGAGAATGATCGATTTTAGGGTGGTGTTTTATTTTCCAGATGGTTTGTGAAAGTGTGTGTTAATGGTAGTGGCTGATATAGGAGATCATGCTGATGCTTTCGGCAGCTTTAAAGGCTACCAAATATCACAAGGGAGTCCGTTTCGTAAATGCAGTATTATAGTCATTGAACTGTTTTAGGCAGCGCTGGTTGGGACTCAAGCCAGAGTTGCATTGCAGTGTCCATGAAATGAATAATGAACTTTAAATGTGGTTATTTGGAGTATTTTCAGTACTTTAAAAGGCTAAGTAGAATCGTGTTGTCCCGTGTTCATTTCGACTGTTTCACTGTGTGGGAAGGGTCTCGTCTCGTACCATGTGGGAAAAGCCAAAGTCAAGAAGGTTCTTCTAAGAAAACAAATCGTATTGTTTACAGAGGCAGATGCTACCCAATCCTGATTGGTGGAGATTTGGAGTTGTCTATTTTTGCAGATAACGTTTCATAAAATTGCTAGATCGCAAGATAAACCACATTCTCAAGCTCAGAGCTCGTTTTAGACGCACCGTCCTACCATGAACAACAGCACAAGTGGTACATCCCCTGAAGTCTCACCGAGAACATGTTCTGACAGAAGAAAGCCCACAGTGATGATACCTGACACACCGAAAGCCAGCGACATGTTCAATGGAAACAAGTCTTGTTTTAATAAGGTTCAGATCATAATGCAGTCTGATTGTAAAAAAAGTGATGCATTTGTGTGATGAACACTTTTGACAGATGCATACATAGTACTGAGTGTTTTTATTTCCCCACAATTTTGCCTTATTTTGTATATTTTATATTTCTGTATTTTTTTATTTCATTTTTTTTTTTTTTTGTTAAAAGGATAATTTTAATGTATTTAGTTCACAAACATTTTGATATTTTTCAATAATTTATATTTTATAAACTTTGAAATATGAAATGCAGACAGCTGGTGCTTTCGTGGGGGGGGGGAAATAAGGTAGCGCAGGACAAAATGTAGCGTTTTTTTTTTTTTTTTTCATCTTTTATATGAAAACAAACAAAAAAAAAGAGAGAAAAAAAGTTAAATTTAAGGAATTTAAAGACCTGTCTGCTTATACAGTTCTGTATAGATAAGGCTGATGCTGGCCCATCATTATGTTCTGCTGGAGAGTTTTATATACATTAGCTTCTATTTCTTATTGTACTTTAAATTGTTATGTTATTAAAAATATATGTGGATAAAATGATGCTTGTGCTGCTTCGTTATTCATTCCAAAATGAATCTATTTGCAATTATGCTGAATCAAAAGTAGCACGAAGGAAGACACACCCATATCAACCGATAACTTTCACAAACACAGGTATGAAGTTGCTAACGCATGCAGATTATCACCTCTCTCTCTCTCTCTCTCTCTCTCTCTCTCTCTGTGCAGTGCTCTGCAGGCTTTGCGGCAGGTTTGTGGTTTCGTTTATTATGAGTCTTGGTTAAATGAGCAGCTCCTTTCTTTCATTGCTAATCATCATACACACCGCAGCTGCAGTGTTTTATCAAGCAAAAGCATTCACATCACGGAAAGACCTGTGATTCTCACACTCAAGATCTGCGTGCTTTTTTTATGAGCTGCGATCTCTTCTGAGGAAGGGGACTGGGAATTTCTTCATTTGTGGTTAAAGTGGGACTGAAGCTGGCACAATGAGTCCGTCACTTCACCTTTTCGTTTTTTGTCCACTCGATTAAGATCCAAAAAAATTGTATGCATGCATATGGGTTCATAGCTAATGCCCATTTCAAAAAACAAAAAAACAAAAACTAGGCTATAAAATCTCAGAAATAAACCTTTTTAGGGAGTTTGGTAGCACTTTACTTGATAAGACTGGTATGACACCTTCATGTGTCTTGAATATGAAGTATGCATGTTTATGATAATTGTCATTAAGTGTCTTTCGCTCATTAATGACATTTTGAATGCAAATATACATTGATGTCTTTGTCATGACAACTTGACATAAAATTAAGTTAAACGGTCATGTGGTTGGCTTTGACATTGGCTGTCATGAGGCATTATAAGTGTGTCATGAATATTTGTTGTGACTTCAACTACGGTGGTACTCGTTGAATTTATCACTAAAAAGCTTAACGGCTTCATGACAGCCGATGTCAAAACCAACCACCTGACAGTTTAATGTAATAGGTGGTTTCTTAAGTTTGATCATTAATCTGCTATGTCATGTTTGTGTTGTCTTAGGAATAGTCTCAAGACATCTCAAACAATGTCATATTTGCATTAAAAATGCCATAACTGAGCAAATGACACTTAATGACAGTTGTCAAAAACATGCATAAAACTTATGCATATGTCATGTCATGATGATGAAGGTGTCATGTTAGTCTCATGCACACCCCTTCAAGTACCGAAACTTTGACATAAAATGAAGAAATATTTGGATTTCTGGGCCGTGTGTACAAACCAAATACCAACTATACCATCTGAAATGCATGCTAATGTTTCGATTCAACTCTTCACTGATTATGGTGATTATAATTTGAATTGTTCACATAAATGTCAGGGGTTTCACCTCAGTCTTTGTACGGGTATCTCTTTTGTGGAAAGAAAGAGTCAGTGGTTTGTGCATAATCAGAGCACAGGTCAAGAAGTGATTTTACAGTTATTTTGTGTGCACTAGACTAAAACCTTTTGGTAACTAGATCTGAAAATGTCCATGTTCTGAGTTGAGAATTAGTCAGGACTTTTCTTGGTCCGTCATGGTGGTCGGATATTCAGCATTTTCTATTTGGAGATGTATCATATTCCAGTATACTCTGTAGTTTGTGTCTTTCACATTTGGAAATGACCGTCATTGGCAGAAACGATTTTTACTCCAGGTCTCTTTTTGACAACAAAATACTTGCTTTTTCCAGTTGACTAAACAAGACAATTAGGTTACACTTTATTTTAAGGTGACGTAGTTACATTGCACTTACTCAAATAAGTACTGGGTAATACTAACTACTTGTACTAGAGTTAAGTTTTGGCTTTGTTACTGTCGTGTACTATTTTTTTTTTTTCTATTGCAAGTTTGAATATGTTTGCATATGCAAATTAGCTATTGTCTAATTAAAAATGCATACCTTTGTAGAACAGAAATCTGGATGAAATGGTGAGATTTTTGGATAATTTACCATATTTTCAGGAATAAAGAAATCAGGTGACATATTCCCATATGTAAATCTCACTGTAAAAACCTTAGACGATATGAAGGAATATAATTGTGAATTCTGCTGTTAAAATTGATATTTCTGACTGAAAAAAAAAACATTTTGGTGGTAACACTATTTTTCAATGCCCCACATTCTACTAACTAAAGTATATATCTGCTTACACTTTATTTTTATTCTCCTCAACAGATATTAACCCGATCCCCAAACTAACCGTCTACTAATACTCTAATGAGAGTTAGTTGACATGTTGATTGCAAATTGACTTATAGTATAATCTCTAAAGTGTAATATTGAAATAAAATGTAATCAGTAACACTATTTTGATGGTCCCTTTTAAACATTCTCTTGACTATAAGTAACTACATGTCAACTAACTCTCATTAGAATAATAGTAAACTGACTTTATTTTCACTCTCCTCAACAGACATTCAATTGACTATGAGTAACTTTACAAGTACATGTCAACTTATTCTACGAACCCCTTAATCTACTTACCCAAACCCTAAACTAACAGTCTGCTAATAATTTAATGAGAGTAAGTAGACATGTACTGTAGATACAACGTTACTTACCAAACCAAAATATCTGACTCCCTGTTGGTCGGAGCTAATGAGTGTAAATTAGAAAGTTGTCCGGCTTGAGAAGGACAATATACATACCATTTTTTGTTACTGTAGGTAAAACTAATACCCTTTTCTTTTTACTAAAGGTGGCACTACTGAGACCCTCACCATGCCCGTTTCTGAAACTTTGCATGAAACTCCACAGACACATCTCATTTATTAGCTAGTAGACATGTGCAATTTCAAGCATGCTAAGAGTCTCAAAATCATCAAAAAAGAAAAGGTATATGGAACCAATTAGTCCTTATTTTTTTGGGATTGGGATTGCTGTGTGGGGTTTTTTTTTAACTCGCTATTATTTTGACTTTTTGAGGCATTTACGGTGACATTGTGACTTGTTTGTCTGCTTCTAATCTGATGGGAGGATACAGGAGACAGCTGAGGCCAGCCATAGACTTTACCATAAATATTTGTGCTCAAACTCCTCACACTTCATCTCCCGTGTGTGTGCGCACTAGAAAGAGACAAAAATTCTTCAACAGCATGCAGCCATAGAACATTCACCACTTATAACACTTTTGCACTTGCAATTTTTTTTCTATCTTTCTCTGACTTTTTTTTTTTTTTTTTTTTCACTTAACCGTAATGGAAAATTACCTCAGTCAGATATGAAAATTACCCCTTTGAAATCCCCAACTGTAGGTGCCTAAAAACCCACAGATACACAGTGTTTGTGTCACCTGACAACCATTTTCAAAATGTTTCTACAGCATAGTGCAAAAAAACAAAACAGAGATACGCTTCCCAAACACTCTCATGCAGATCTTCGTCAACTTCGCGTCATATTTATAACGATATGCATACAGGGTAACTATTGAAGGAGTTTATTTTAGCAAGATCAGATTCATTAAGAACAATTGTGCTGGTGTGTGTTTGGTGACGAGTGTGATCACAGTTGTGTGCGGATAGACAAAGGTAAAGGTAAGAGAGGAACCACCTGCAAACGTGCTGAATGATGTCTACAACACACAGACCCGGAACATTGTGTACTTTTGTGGTCAATTGTGGACATGACAAGATATTAAAAGAATGAAGTAGCCTACAGACAAATGTCCATTGCTTTTACAACTTGAAAAGAAAACACACCGGGAAAGAAAACACTTTAACAAGGGATATTTCAATAGTCCACTAACACATTATTATAGGGTCCAATTGGTTATAGCATGCACATTGCTAGGATATTGGCTGTTTATTAGTATTTGAAGCACATAGTAATGACTTATAATGCATGATCATATCTACAACCTGCTATACCCAATACTAAAACTTGGAGTTTATTGAGACATAAGTTGTTAGTAGTAGTTAATAGTGAGAATTGGACAGTAATATAAAGTGTGACCTTTGCATGTCAACTAACTCTCATTAGACCATTAGACGGATAGATTAAGAGATAGAAAGAGTTGACGTAGTTGTGAAGTTATTTAGAGTTAGTAGGATGTCTAAATAAAGTGTTACACATATGCATCCCAAATAATCCATTTTATATTTGGATTGATGGCTCTTAACCCTTAACACATCCAATATACTGTAGCATGATCTGAATGAAATTTTAATCGGTTAGAAAGAGATGGTGTAGACCTGTACATGCTTAAATACGACAGCCTTCTCAATCAGATTCAAAAATGCCTTGCATGCATTGTGCAGTGTTTACACACGTTTACTAAAATTTATTTACGTCTTACGAACTGTAAGGATAAATGCACTGCATAAAGACATCCAAATAAATATGTGAGTAACGTTTATAAACCGAGCGGACATGTAATCATTCTTTTACTTCAACATCAGGAAACGTTATCATATATTGGTGATAACCACTGGTCCCGTCAGTGGGGGTGTGAGGCTATCTCTGCCCCAAACGCTGATCTGGCTGTGATAAATTAGCTCGCAAAAAGCGCCATGTATCCCCGTGAGGAGCTGGAGAGAGAGATGGCCCTCATGACGCATGTTAAGCTCCTCTCAGTGCTTCCATTACGCCAGAGCCTGTGAAATACGAGCCCGTTCCTGGTTCCCCAAAGTCCTCTTCATAACACTGTATTCTATTCTGGGCTCATTGTCCTGAACGGTCGAATCTGGTCCTGGTCAATATTACCAGGGATCAGTAACACTGTCTTGGGACTTCATTACAGCCCCATAACTATCAGTGT